TGAACTTTTTAGGAAGAGCTACCAGCAATGTGAGTCTATAACGCTAGTCAAAACAGCCCAGCCTGGTGAAGAACCTTAAAGTAGCTCAATATCTCCCTCATATCAATTGACTAATTAATATGGATTAACTTTTATAAAGGTATTTTATTGAGAATATATAGCAAGACTAGAAGTATGAAAATTTCCCAATTCAGGAGCCCACTTCCTCCACCATGTTGGTACCTGGTGAAAATGGACCCAAACTTAAAATTTTTGCCTATTCCCCAAATGAGTTCAATTCTGGATATGGCATAGTCAGTGGATCAGTCACTTCCCTGCTTACAGGAAACTGCTTCATATGTGGGACTGATTTCCTGTGAGGCTTCACCCTCTATTGAACTCTGGTCTGCTTGAGTTTCTATTTCTAAAGCAGCACTTGAAAGCAAGGTACTGCATTCATCTCCTTCATGGTTTGAATTATGGGCAAAAGAAATCACCTGATGGTCAGCCTGCTGGGGATTAACTTCTCCGTATTTAGGTAAATTTGATTATGGGTCCAGTAAAAGATTATGTCTACTCTCTGAAGTTTGCCTTGTTTAGTTGAAGACAGAAGTTTACCTTGCTAGAGGTTAAGAAGCTGGAGTATTTTCTTCTGACATAGCATTCACAAATCTAGTGACATCTCCCCTGTACGCTAGAAATCTTGACATGTTGTTTCATCATAATCATTTTCTTTCACATAACTGTTAATTGTTTCTATGATTTGTTCTTTAACCCACTCATTATTTTAGGGTTTCATTGTTAAATCTCCATTTAGATCTGTGTTTTTTGTTTGTGATCCCTGGACTATTTTTATTGTGTTATGGTTTGTAAAGGATGTATTAACTATTTCTGCCTTTTTACATTTGTTTGCAATATCTCTGTGCCCTAATATATGGTCAGTTTTGTACAAGTTCCATGTGGCACTGAGAATATATATTTCGCCATTTAGAAGATGCCATAAAGATTCTTGTCACTACCATATTGTGTAGATTAGTTCATGTTTCCTTTATGAATTTGTATGCTAAGGAATTTGGAATATAGAAGTTTATTAATGTTAGTCCATGTTGTTGTCTATGGTTTCTTTCATCATAGTGTAATTTTCTTCTTTAGCCCTTTTAATTTTTCAAATATTATTTTTTCTTTGTCAGATAGCATGATTGTAACTCCTGCTTTTTTGGATTCATTTGATACATAGTAAAATTGTTTTTCCATCTCCTCGTGAGGTCTTTGTTTTTAAAATACATTTCTTGAAAGCAGTAGATTGTACAACTTTGTTTTCTTATCCAATCTGTCACTCTTTTCATTTTATTGAATTGTTTAACCGATCTGCATTTAAAATTAAGAGAGTTATTAGGTTTATATTTTCCATCATCTGTCTCTAAAATTTTTTCAAGTCATTGTTTTTCCTCTCTTCTATTGTAAAGATAGTACTATGATTCATCAGTTATTTACTTTAATATGTTTTTTTAAGGTGACTCTGTTCCTCCTGGCTCTCTTTCCCTTAACCCTCATCTCCTCCTCCCTTTAGTTACCTTTCTCCCTTTGGAGTTTTGCTTGTTTGGTTCCTTTTTAATTCCTGATTTTATCTGATTATTTAATTCTTCCCCTTTTTTTCCTCGGTGTCAGTCAATTGATTTCCTCTCCCTCTTCTCACCTTCAACTAGTCCTGTTCATTTATTTTCTAAATTTCTTTTTTTTGGTGTCCCTTTCCAGAGAGGATTTCTCTCACTCTATTCACTATCTTCTTCTTTTGTCTACTCTAGAGCCTGTCTTTCCTGGTCCCTATAATTACCTAGTCTCTATTCTCTGTATTCCTCATGGAATCATAATTTCCAAAGTATCCATTCCAAGATCTCCCCTGTATCCTACAGGATCTGCCACTGCCTTGTAGAGACTACCCCATGTATTCCTCCTTTCCCTTGGGCCTCACTCCTGAACAAAGCCAAATCACCAATTCTTGCAAGTGACAGAGAAAACACTACCCTAGGGTAGGACCTCTCTCCCCTCTCTCCCCACCTTTGATATATACCTCCCCACTGTTATCTTCTTTTCTGTTTGCCTCAAAATCTCCCTGAGTCCATGTGTACCCCACTCCCTCAGGTGTCAATTGTCCTCAGAATATCCACTTCACTTTGTCCCAAGGTAGGGCAGGTGGTCATTGGAACTCTCTGCCACTAAAGCAAGACCTTCCTGTTTTCCCTCTCCCTTTTCAATCCTTCTTGTCACCTTCTCACCCACTCCCGAGTTCTTTTCTATTTGAGACTGATAGAATCACCTTACCCTCTTTGTTAGCTCTTGATTTGACCATGGCACATTAGTATTCCTCTCTATCACCCTACTCTCCTCCTTCCCTTTCATTCACTCTCCCATTTTGTAATGTAGTCTCACAAAAAAATAAAATTGAAAAGAGAAAAAACAAACAAGCACATTGATTTATTTATGGGCAGAACATAGCCAGTTTCTATCCACAATGCCCCAGGCCCATTTCTTGACTTACTCTCACCTGACATATTTTCCTCTGTCTTTGTGTACATTTAGAGGGCAGTCTCTTAGAAGTCTTTCTGCTGTCACTTTGTTGCTGTTGCTGTCCTTGGCTACTGTATTCATTTGTCCCTTCTTCATTCTTATTGTCTAGGCATTTGAGAAGCAAATAATCTCTTTAGGCCTAATTTTCTTTCGAAGAAAAAATGACTTTTTATTATTGAGTGTCCCTCATTTTTTCCATTTATGGTTGACCTCAGATTTACAGGGTAGGTCATTCTGGGCTTCCTCCTGAGCTCCATTGCTCTTTAGAACTTATTACATTCCCTCAGGCAGTTTTCTGATGGGAGCAGAATAGTCACAAGTTATTCAAATTTCCTTTCCTTTATATTTGAAGGTCTTCTGATTACTTACAGATCTTGTTTCTCAAGTAAATTGTTCAGTTTAACCACTAAGTGTCTTGAAGTTTGCAGCCTTGGGGTTTTTTTTCTCAAAACAATGTTTGAATTCTTTCAATAAACATTTAATTCTCTGTGTTTAGAAATTCTGAGCAATTCACTTGTGTTAGTTCCTGCATTATGATGATAAGGATTTTTGTCCAGTCGTTTTCTTCTAGGAGATCTGTGATCTTTAGGCTGTTTCTATGCATTTTAAGATCTTTAAGACCTTGAAGATCTAAATGTATTGCTTGCATAGTGAGCATATTACTTTTTTTGAACATTACTCCTTTTTGCTTTTTTTATTCTATATTTTCCATCATTTCTATGTATTTGCATCCCCAATGTATTGTTTTTTCCTTTTCTTTATTTTAGTGAGAGTTGCCGTTGCAATTTTTCTATTCTGCCCCTAGTTTTTGCTGTACAATCTGTAAATTTTGTTCTCATAATTCCCATTTCTTTTTTAACTATGACTGCAGTCTGTCCCTGGGATCTCCACAGCACTGGAAAGAATGAGGGGTGTGTGGGTGTGTGTGGGTCAGCTAATGTAGCCTCACCCTTAGTGTGAGGGGAGGGGAGCTGAGTGAGCTCACTGTAGAAGTATTATTTTTTTTTTTAGGCAATTGGGGTTAAGTGACTTGCCCAAGGTCACACATCTAGTAAGTATCAGATGTTTGGTCTGAGGCTGGGATTTGAACTCAGGTCCTCCTGACTTCACAGCCAGTGCTCTATCCACTGCACCACCTAGCTGCCCCAGAAGTATTTTTTTTTTAACGTCCTCTTTTGGATTGAGGGTATCTCAAATTTTGAAGACAGCTTAAGTTTCTTTATCTTTGGAGCGTAATTTATGTTTTGGAGAGGTTTGAGAGAGCAAGGGGATCAAAGCACATGTCTAGTCCTCCGCCATGTTTCTCATGTACCTGGACCCCTGTGATATCTCGGTGCCACAGTGAACCAGTGAGTAGGAGTTTAGAGGTGCTCAGAAACTATACAGATGAAAACTTTAATACATCTCTACATATAGGTTTCATGACATACATGCGTGTATATTTATGTACACATATAAATATATGTATGTATATGTAGTAGGGAATGGCATATGTGTAAAGTGCCACTAATGCAACTTCCTATGTTGAAAAGGCTCTCAGGAGTCTACTTTCAAGGAGATTTGTTATGATTTGGAATGGAACTTAGAGCATGAGAGTAGAGATTCTGTAACTGGTTCTGGTCTGCTTACCACCTGGTGGACAGCAGTTGTAAACTGCTGCGGTTGTAAAACCAAAACTTCAGAGATGCCTTCAAAAAACCTTTGTTGGCCTCAGCCTCATTCTTTCTGTCTGCTCACATTCTTTGCCTTGATATGACCCCTTCATTGATGGCATCTAGGGAGATATCATTGTTTCTCAAGAGAGTTTTGGCTCTTTCCCTCTGACGTCAAACTCTAACACTATGAATGTGGGCTTTAGTTCTTTGCCTACCTCGGCATTTATTCTTTTGACTTAAGAAGATCAAGGAAGGAGTCTAGAGGCTTCAACTTGGTGAGTTTATAAATGCCAGGAGAGTGTAAGTCTTGGAGTCTGAGATTTCAGGAGTCAGAATCGATGCTGGGTTTTGTAGCCAATTTAGCATCAGTGGACAAAGCTGAGATGAGGGTTCATCTGTCAATCTGGCATCTTAATACTATTCTTGGGGGATGGATGATGTAGAAACTGTGCCAAGAGTGAGCCCTCTGGCATTTATAGACTGGCACTAGTTAAAGAATGTCAGGCATTCGCCGAGATCTCTCTGAGACACTTATAGTATAGATCAGGGCTTCTTAAACTTTTTCCACTTGTGACCCCTTCAGCTCTTCTTAAACTGCATGTCACAACCCCATGGAGTCCCAGCCCACAGTTTAAGAAGCCCTGAACAATGGATGATCACAACTCTTCTAGAAGCAGGTTCCGGTCAATTTCACATGGGGAGTTACATCGGTGGTTTACACTAGTCCCTATCCCAATCATGTACACCTGTAGAACATTCATCTTCATATTTCAGGTATCTTTTCTTATTTTACCTTAGGCTGATTACCTGAGAAGATGCCTATTACCAGGGTGCCTGTTATAAACAGATTTGGAGTGATATCAGCCTCTTACCATGAAGAGCTTTTGAAACGTAGTTCAGAGAACATAACTGAAGTAAATATTAAAAAGCCAAGGTAAGTTTGAATTTTAAAAACCTTGTTATTTCTTGTGTTGTAAACAGAGCCATCGACTTTTGACATAATCAAGCTTTATAAGTTACTGTTCTGGTAAGAAGGGTCACATAATTCAAGAAAGTTGGACAAAATATTACTCATTCCCCACTGAGAATTCAAGAGCTAAAATGATTATAAAATACTTTCTTGTATGTGAAATACTTTATAAACCATGTAAATATCTTAGAATTAAGGTTCTTTATGGGATGCTTTACTTCATCACTGTTTCAAAATAATAATAATATATTTATAATGCCATGCATTTATAACGTGTGTTTGAATAGCTAGAACAGGCTTGCTAGTTCTAGACTATCTGACTGGAACTTTCTATGGCAGTACATACTTAGACAATTATTATAGGAGATAACTATACCATAAGATCATAGATTTAGAGTTAGAAGGGACCTTAGAGGTCATTTAGTTCAACCCTCTAATTTTGAAAATAAGAAAACTGAGGCTGAGAGATTAAAATGATTTGACCAGGATTGCATACCTAGTGTCTGAGGGAATATTTGAGTTCAGGCCTTACTGCTTGCAAGTCCAGAAATTGTCTATGATTTATCTGCTACTAACCATGGTGATAAAGGAGTTGACCAGACAGAAAGTCATTATGAAAAGGAGGAGCTAGAGAAGAGTGGCAGTGCCCAGATGAAGGTGAGAGCCAACAGTAAGAAGTAGTTAACTCTCACCTTACCAGATCAGATGGACCTATTTACACAAATATGCACCCCCCCACACACACAAATGTTAGATACAGATCAGGAAAGTGAGGTCTAAGGAAGTTAAATGAGCTGCCCACAGTCAAACAAATAGTGACTATTGAGTGGGATTTGAACTAAGATTTCCGTTCTGCCATGGTTCCTTTGATCCAGAAATCCCACACACAACTGACTTGTACCCCAGAGAGATAAATGATACACTGACAAGTATATGTAAAAGCATGATTTGTATTAGCAAAGAGCTGGGAACAAAGTAGATGTCCATCAAGTGGAGAATGACTAAAAAACTGGAGTAAATAAGTATAATAGAATATTAGTATTTTATAAGAAATGGTGAACATAAAGAATGTATAATCATAGGAAGACATATTAACTGATGCAAAGTGAAGTATGCATAACCAGGAAAACGGTATACATAAGGAACATAACAATGTAAGTGGAAAGAGAAAGTATAAAAAACTGAAATTAACTGAGGTGTCACTATGACCTTCGAGAATGACCCCAAAGAAGACATATGAGATTTCACTTCCTTCTTTTGCAGGGGTGTTGGATTATGGAAGTAAAAAACTGAATATGATTTTGTTCACTCTGTTTTAGGATTTATATTATATCTCTGTGACTGAAGAGTTGCTTATTATATCAGAGGATGGAGTTGTCAGCTCTAGTATTTTTTATACCAATTATTGTTCAAGGCCTTCTGTACCCCCCATCTCTAAGTAATCTTAAGTTAGATGTATTTAAAGAAGGTATTTATATGATTACATTTACCCTCACAAATTCTCAGATATCTTTTATAAACAGAGATTTCATCTTCAGTATATTAATATTACTCTACTTGAAGTTTTTCTCTTTATAGGTATGCCAGACATTTATATGTTTAATAAAATATTACATACAAATATTTTCCTGTATTTACATAACATTATGTAGATATATTTTGCATATACTATACATACAATATATATATATATATATATCTGTATGTTGTCTGTACACCTAATATATATCTATTCTGATGATTCTCAAAAATGTGTATCTTGACCTAACCTCTCTTCTGACATCTAGTCTCCCATTTTCAGCTGCCTTTCAAACATCTCCAACTGAATGTTCAGTAAATATCCTAAACTCAAGATGTCCTAAACTGGACTCATTATGTTTCTCCCTAAACCCTCCTAACTCCTCTATTACTGCCCAGGGCAATACCATCTTCCTCCATCTTCCCAGTCCCTCAGGCTTGCAACTTAAGAGTTATCCTTGATTCCGCACTGTCTCTTCTCCTTCTTGCCCTCCTCACCTCCTCCCTATCCAATATATTGCCAAGGCCTTTTGATTTCACTTTTGCAATGTCTCTTCAAATATACCACCTTCTCTCCTCTGACACTACCAGCACTCTAGTGCAGGCCTTTGTCAACTCATGCCTGAATTATTGCAATAATTTGCTGGAAAATCTGACTGCCTGAACTCTCTCCCCACTCTGATCTACCTTCCATTCATCCACCAAAGTGATTTTTGTCACCCTGTACTAAAACTCCAGTTTTCCTATCACTTCCTATCACTGAAACTGAGCTTTAAAGTAAGTTAAGGATTCCAAGAGACACATTTGAAAAGAAAGAACATTCCAGACATGGAATGTGCAAAGGCACTAGGCAAAAAATGAAATTTTGCTTCTGAGGAAAGTCTACTAGGCCATTTTAGCTCAAATGTAGTGTTTGTGAGGGGTAGTAGTCATACATGGGCAGCTAGGTGGTGCAATGAATAGAATGCTGGGCCTGGAGTTAGGAAGGTCTGAGTTCAAATCTGGCCTCAGATACTAAGTCACTTAACCCTGTTTACCTCAGTGTTCTCATCTGTAAAATGAACTGGTAAAAGGAAATGGCAAATAACTCCAGTATCTTTGCCAAAAAACTCCTAGAAGGGGCCACGAAAAGTCAGACTAAACAGTAACAACAACAACAAAGTATTCATACTGTTTCTCAAGCATTTGAGTACTTATATTAGTAAGGAACCTCTTCTTGGCTATCAGATTTAAAACTACAAGTTGATAAGATTTTAAGAACTTTCATTGCATAAAGCTTGTAATTTTTATGCAAGAGGGAAACAGTAAAAATGGTATTATTATACCAGAAACAAAAGCCCTGGCTTGTCTTTCCTAGTTCTTATTCTAGCCATCAGGGGAAGGGTCCTGTCTGAAATGACTAGCCTGCTGATTTCATTCTTTCATGGTTTCTTATAGCACAATAATATTCCTTTATATTCATATGCCACAGATTTTTTTCAGATATTCCTAATTTATAGGTATCCTCTTAGTTTCTAGTTCTTTGCCACTACAGAAAGAACTGCTGTAGCTATTTTTGTATGTGTAGGACCTTTTACTTTTTCTTAGATCTCTTTGGGCTATAGACCTACTAATGGTATCATTGAGTCAAAAATTATTAATTTGGGGGGGCATTATTTGAAATTGCTTTCTAGAATGACTGGACCAATTCGTAGTTTCACCCTAATAGCCCCGCCAACATTTGCCATTTTCATTTTTTGTCAATTTGGGCAATCTGATAGGTTTCAGGTGGACTTCAGAGATACATTAATTTTCATTTTTCTAGTTGTTTATTAGTGATTTGGAACTTTTCATAAAAAATATATATAACTATCTTCATATCCTTTAAATGTCAACTGGTCATTTTTTCTTTAATTCTTTTAGAGTTTTTTTTTATTCTTATATATTTGAATACTTTCTTGTGTGTGTCAGGTATGAAACCTTTCTTAGAGAAACTTGATAAGAAAGATTTCTTCAAGTTAATTTTTTCCCTTGTAATATTAGGTGCATTGGATTTGTTTGTAAAAAAAAAAGTTTTAATTTAGAAATGCTAGCTATAACGATAGAACAAGAAAAAAGAATTAAAGGAATAAGAATAGGCAATGAGGAAACACTCCTACATATCACTCTTTGCAGATGATATGATGGTATACTTCAGAGAATGAACTAAAAAATTAGTAGAAATTACTAATAACTGCAAAGATTCAGGACATAAATCATCAGCATTTCTACATATTACCAATCAAACCCAGCAAGAAGAGAGAGAAAGAGAAATTCAGTTTAAAATAACTGCTGACAAAATGTAATACTTGGGATTCTCTCTGCCAAGACACGCCTGGGAACTCTATGACAACAATTACAAATACCTGTTCACACAAATACAGATCCAAACAAATGGAGAAATATTACTTGCTCATGGGTGGATTAAACCAATGTAGTAAAAATGACAATTCTACCTAAATTAATTGACTTATCCAGTGCCATACCGATCAGGCTGCCAAAGAGTTATTTTACAGAAGAAGAAAAAGAAATAACAAAATTCATCTGGAGGAGTGAAAGGTCAACACATCACACCTATCAGATTGACTAATATGACAGGACAGGAAAATGATTAATGTTGGAGAAGATGTAGGAAAATTTGAACACTAATGCATTGTTGGTGAAGTTGTGAACTGATCCAGCAATTCTGGAGAGCAATTTGGAGCTCTGCCTAAAGGGCTATAAAATCTGTTTACCCAGCAATACCACTTCTAGGTCTGTATCCCAAAGAGATCATAAAAATGGGAAAAGGACGCACATGCACATGTACCATGGCTGAACAAGTTGTGGTATTGAATGTAATGAAATATTATTGTTCCATGAGAAATGATTAGCAGGTAGGCTCCAGAAAAACCTGGAAAGACTTATATGAACTGACGCAGAGTGAAGTGAGCAGAATCAGGAGAACATTGTACACAGTAATAGCAACATCGTGCAATGACCAGCTTTGATAGACTTAATTCTTCTCAGCAATGCAAGGATCTAAGACAATTCCAAAAGACTCATGATGGAAAATGGTATACATATCCAGAGAAAGAACAGTGTAGTCTGAATGCATATCAAAGCATACTATTTTCTCTCTCTTTTTTTTTTTGTTTCTTCTTTTTTGTGGTTTTTCCCTTTGGTTTTTATTCTTCTTTACAACATGACTAATATGGAAATATGTTTAATATGATTGTACATATTTAGCCTGTATCAGATTTCACACCATCTTGGAAAGGGGGGAGCAGAGGGAGGGGGTGAAAATTTAGAACTCAGAATCTAATAGAAGTTAATGTTGAAAATTAAAAACAAATAAATTTAATTTAAATAAAATGAAAGGTCAAGAATATCAAAGGAATCAATGAAAAAATATGTGAAGGAAGACAGCCTAGCAGTACCAGACTTCA